TTTTTTTTTTATTGTTTGTGTAACACACTATGTGTCTCAGTGTTATTATATCTTTTCCTGCCACAGGCCCACAGGAAGAGATTCCAGTTGGAATATGTGGGGCCTATGTACTCTGTTTTTATATATGTGTTGTCCTCTGTGTTGAATGTGTGTACATAAATAAATAAATAAATAAATAAATAAATAAAAATGACTAAGTAAATAATAGGTGCAAGCATGGTAATGCTTGACCCAACGATGAAAACTAGAGATAATGCTGAATAAGTAGACAAACACATACATAACATCACGCCTTTTTATCCCCGAAGGGGTAGGCACAGGTGCACATTACGGCACTTAATGCCACTGTACAATGTAACTCCCACTTTTCACTATTTATGTTACGAGTCCCATGTAATAGGGGGTGAGCCAATTGCCATATACCGGGCACATTTCCAGACTCCGTGCTACTACTGAGATTTTTAAAAACCCAGTAATACTTTACCTGACCCGGGAATCGAACCCGAGACCCCTTGCCTGGCAGTCGCACTTGCGACCACTCGGCCAACGAGGCAGTCAGTAAGTAGACAAAATGTGTACAAAATGTCATGTACAATAAAGTATATACCTCACGTATAACAATGCGAGTGATATCAAAACAGTTTTAGATTAAATGCAGTTTTTTAGATCGCAGGTACTATAAAGACAACTATAGCTATTACAATCGATTCAAAAAAGTAGGAGTTTTTATGAATATAAACTTCGAAGAGGATATAGAGAATGTGATGAATCCATGAAAAAAATGAAAATTGAAGCCTCCGGCAAAAGCCAGATTTTCAATGTTGAAATATTTTAAATGTTTGTGTGTGGGTACAAACGGGTATCCGTATAAAGCTGTAAATAACGCGGCCTAATAAAAAAACCCTCTGAATATTAAATATATAACATTTTCATGTTAAAATAAAAAATAAAGCATTCACGAGAAAATAAAACTCAATCAACAAAAAAGGAATTTGAAGGATATTAATGTTGCTAAGTTTCAACTAATTTTATTATGCAAAACAACTTTGGATTATTTTTGTTTTCACCATTTATCTTCAGGAGAATGGCTCCGTGAGGATTTCTTTATTTTTATTTTTGAATTATTTGCTAAAGCTGTTTATATTAATGGAGGCTTAATATTCAAAGTTGTTGGATTTTACGGGTCAGTTGGTTTGTAAAAGTAATAACATCACGGTTTTACTCCCTGAGGAACGGGTAGACTTATATTTAGTGCTCATTTTCATTGGTTGTGTTTCGAATTCTATAATCACTTGAGGAAAAAGGCGAACATTATATTATGAAGTCTAATAAATTAGCAAACAGTTCTTACTTAACGTTGTTCACATTCGGGTTAAGGAAATATAACGATCATTACAAGAGAGGAAAGTATAATGCCCTAGTCTAGAGACAGTTTTTTTATATATTTGATGGGCCAACGTTTGTCCATTATCTCGTCTGGTCGTAAGCTATGACGCGTCACGTCTGCCCCTAAACAACCTATTCACTCAGGCCTTGAAGACACCCAGGTCATACTCTTCAGGAAATACAGATTCTGACAAAGAATTCCATTCTTCAGCAGTCCGCAGTAAGCTCGATGCGAAGCGTTTCGTGCATATGGGTGGGACATTTACCATCAACACCTCAGACCATTTTTGGGTTTACTTTGCTATTATAACATAACTTCACACCTTTTATCTCCAAAGGGGTAGGCAGAGGTGTACATTGCGGCACTTAATGCCACTGTACAATGTAACACCCACTTTTCACTATTTATGTCATGAGTCCCATGTAATAGGCCTGCTTCGTAGGCCGAGTGGTCGCAAGTGTGACTGCCAGGCAAGGGGTCTCGGGTTCAATTCCCGGGTCGTGCAAAGTACTACTGGGTTTTTAAAATTCTCAGTAGTAGCACGGACTCTGAAGTTGTGCCCGGTATATGGCAATTGGCTCACTTTGCTATTATAAGTACTGACAATTTCAATAAAATCAATATTGATTTTATTAAAAAAATTCTATTGTTCGTAAATAATGAGAATTGGAAAGTAATTGTTTGAAGCAACACTTCAACTTGAACGCGGTTAAATAAGTACGTCGAGTTGAGGTCGAGAGTCATTTTCCATGAATAAACAAAACGATGAAGGTAGAAGGAACCTTTTCAAATATTATTTGCGTTAACTGAACAGGAGTTTATGTTTCAAAGTACCTCATTGAGGAACGGGAACGGGATTGCGCGTGCGAAGTCGCGGGCAGAAGCTAGTCTAATGATAAATATTGATACATTGGAGTAGGTTGATGTGGCTGGCTACTGTATATAAAGGATTATCATATCATTGTCAAATTATTCAGTTATTATTATTATCAGCCATAAGATAAATGCTGAACATAGGCCACAGCAATGGCGATCGTCCGTCAGTTTTAAAATACTATTATGATATTATGTTCGAATTATTTTGGTTACGAGATCCTGCGATATGTTTAAATGAATAAAATGAAGTTTTTAATCAAACATTAGGCAGTAATATGAACAATTTACACAGAGAGGGAAGTTAAAGTTCTACTATAGTTTCTATAATAACAAAATGTAAGTAAATAATACTCGTAAAAAATCACCTTGACTTTGTCTAAAATTCTTGTGACGTCTGTTCTTGGTAGTGGTGCAGCTCCGCAAGTTATAGTCTTTAGTGATGTTAAATGATCCGCTGTTACCCCAGGATGTGAACCAAGAAATAATACTGAAAACAATATAAAATTGAGTAAACTAAATACATGAGTCGACTAGTAAGGATAACAAGTAGATGCCACTATTAAAACGATGGACTGAATAAATTAATACAATATTAAACTTCAATATTTATACATTTTTACAAAAATCTAAGTCAGCAGATGTGAATTTGATATATAACACGTAACAGTAATAACAAAATAAAAAGTACATAGTAGTTCAATACCATAGTGTAGAGTCTCAAAGTGACAAATAAACTTACCTAAGGGAGGGGCTGCACATAACAAATTTATTTTGTGGTTTTTCATCGTATCAATGAAAGTATTTGGCTGGAACTTAGATAGTGTCACATTTTTCAATCCCGCTGACAACTTATGCAATAAAATCACTGAAAGACCATAGCTATGGTAAAAGGGTAACAGTCCTAAAGTTACATCCTGATGAGTCTCTGAAATGGAAATTAAAATCATTTGGTGTCAATAAAAATCATAATAGTGACTGGATAGATAAAACATCAAAAACATAAACATAAGATGGTAATGTAACTGATAGTATACATTCGTCGAGCCCAAAATTATCAAGCATAAAATCTCAGCTTCGTCATTCAATAAACTCATTGCAAATTGTAATTATTATAATCTTTTTATCACTTATGATTAGACTTACTAGTTGTTTCTTGATGGACACGCATAGTGTCAACGTCTTGTTGCACAAAATTAGCAACGAGATTTCTATTGGTCAGTTCAACGCCTTTTGGAAGACCAGTTGTACCACTAGAATATGGTAATAACGCAACATCTTCAGGCGTCCTAGAAACATCTTTAAGCACACTATGATCAACATTTTCAGCTAAAAACCATTCCTGGAATGAAATAGTATTATCTGGAAGAGCACCATCAGGGTTTCTTAAAACAATGATCGGTATATCTTTCTTAGTTAATCGCAAAGCTTCCTTTAAAACCGGTACAGTCTCTGGAACTCCTACCAGAACTTTTGGCTCTGCTTGCTTTATTTGACGTTCCACTTCATCTATAATGAAATGTTCTTATTAATATTGATCACGAATGTATATAAGAATTATCTTTATGCGTCAATGACACATATCGTTGATATAATGTAGGATTAGCAGACCTTTAGCGGCCTAATGAATCAAGTACCTAGATAATAATATATTGTTATCAATGCTTGTCGAAATATGAGGAGTGGGTTTACAAATTAGATATTGGATTAGGAGTTTGACAACCAGACAAATATCTACACAATATTCTTCCATTGTTCAGCTTTACAATGAGTCCAGCAAATGTCATTAAATAGGATTCTTTTCCTTGTATTTGTATTTTGAACTTACATGGAGTATAAATAGGGTTGGCAGTGGTGACTTCAGCTCCGGCTTCCAATGCTCCTAGTAGAGCGATGGCATACTCAGGATAATTCGACATCATTAAACACACGGTATCTCCATCTCTTATTTTTATCTGTGTCCGCAATTTTGCGGCAAAATTCCTTGAGTATTTGTACAAGTCATGGAACGTGTATGATCTGTTTGTTGTTGCACACACCTGAAATTGGTTTCTATCAGAGTGAGATTAAAATTCATTATGCTGTAGGTCATTCTGGAATTGGCTTTGTTAAAGATAGTAACGTTTTGATAAGTAATAATGACATTATAATGTATTGTCAGGGAGATCAGTTGGCTACATAAAAGTAGCATAATATTATGTAACATGTTAAATGAGGTGACTACTAAGAATTATTATTGTAGGTAATTACAGAAAACACGCAGTATAGGATAATTATAATGTATAAAAATAAATATTTAAACATTCGCATGTAACGTTTAGCAAAGGTCTCCTGTCATCTTAAGAAAATATTCTGAAGTGTGTAGAAGCCACTTAGATTTACTACCTACCATCATTTTTTTATTGGGTAAGCCCGTAAACGAGCAAATGGATCACTTGATGGTAAGCAATCGGCGCCACCCATGGACGCCCGAAACACCAGAGGCGTTACAAGTGCGTTATCGGCCTTTTGAGTATTACGAATTTGAGGATTGTTGGATATTCAGGGATTGCGGAGACAGGGCAGGGGGGTTATAGGAACTCCGGTAACCTCACTCACACGACGAAATATAACGCAAGCGTTGTTTCACGTCGGTTTTCTGTGAAGCCGTGATATCACTTCGGCCGAGCCGGCCCATTCGTGCCGAAGCATGGCTCTCCCACACTTAATACAATACAGCAATTATATATCTATGAGATACAACTCTGCGGTAATTTTGGATGTAATAACTTGTCATGGTCAACTCAATGTCACTATAATACCACTATTATTACTATGAATTACTTTACCGCATATCGCCCATTTGAAGGACCAATTTACGTTTTATGAACATTGAATAACGTACCATAACACAATGGTTTTATCAATGGAAAATTGTTTGGAGCAAACTAACTTGTATATGTATATATTTGTGTACGGATAACTTGTTCGTCTTATTATGAAAGTTGCAGACAAGTTTAATGATACTATGGGTAAGTTGACTGCGTGTATTCAAAAAACGTTGTTTAAAAATATTACGTTAAAGAACTATCGAGTATACTATTATTATTATGATTTTTATCTCATTTAAATGATGGTATGATCTTTTATGGTAATAGTATAAATTCATTATCACTATAATTCAGATGTAAAATTACATATATTCAGATGGAACTAGTCACTTATTCTTTACCTACATACATTTTAAAAACATTGTGGCGACACACGACAGATGTCAGATGATAGATCACGCACATAAACTGTCAATGAAAAACATTTCAACGGATGACGTCATAAAAATCACGCATGTGTATTTCGCATGCGAATTAACACGTATCCCAAACAACAACTGTTGTGTAGAAAGCCCGCTAGGCCCGAACACCTCGCCAGGTCGGAGGATCTTCCGACCCGGAATCGATCCTCCTTTTCCAATCTTAGGGAACTTTACTCCCTGTTCCCTAAATATTATCACTGAACTTGTTGAGTACCGTCATTATAGGCACAATTAAAGAACAATAGGTTGCGGTTACCGGTGTCTTCGCTGTGTTTGACAGTTTAAATAATTGACCGGTTTTTGTGATCTGAATCTTAAACTTTGATACAAATAAAAATACTTACAAGTGCAGTCTTATCCGGCCATCGTTCCACAGCCTCCCAAATATGTTCAGTGACTAGTCTGTTTGGTATTTCTATATCTCTATGAGGTGATTTGACAACATTGTCAGCTGTCCATACACTACTATATTTTCTGCTACTCAAAGAAATACTTCTTGATGTTAACAGCCTATGGGCTGTTCTTGATAAATTCCTTGCTGCCATTGTTACTCTGTAATATATAAACACATTTAAGAGTATTCCGCCACATCATCGCCTACCATCAGGCGAGATGGTGGCCAAACATTCGACCTATCAAGTATAGGAAAGTACATATATAATATAATGATTTGTCCATCTAAATACTATACAATACTACGTAAATAAATGCTGTATTTCACAGCATTATTATAACATAACATCACGCCTTTCTTACCCGAAGGGGTAAGGAGAGGCGCACATTACGGCACTTAATGCCTCTGTATAACGTAACACCCACTTTTCACTATTTATGTTATGAGTCCCATGTAATAGGGGGTGAACCTATTGCCATATACTGGGCATATTTCCAGACTGCGTCCTAATACAATTTTTAAAAAAGAACCCGGTAATACTTAGCTCGACGCGGGGATCGAACCCGAGACCTCTTGTCGGCAGTCGTACTTGCGACCATTTTATAATGTAATGGCTTATAATGTAATTAAGAATAAGAATAATTCTTTTAGCAAAACAAATTATTAATAAATAAATAATAGCATTTATATATATAAGTTTAACAGTATAACTTAATGGCGTAAGCTGTGGTGTTGTATATGTACATTTTCTAATAAATAAATTATTAATAATGTAAGAAAAGTAAGTATAATTTTCATATGCCTTTATTATAATAAAGGTTATTTTTCGTAATTAGGTACATATCTAATTATGAAAAATAACAAGCTAACGATTGTTGAGTTGTTGTGAAATGCGTTTTTCTCTGATTAACGATATCAATTGTCAAAGTATTAGCATTTATTTCAATTAAACCATAATTTGGTAGTTTTTAAAATTTCAACCAAGAATAAATAAACAATAGTCTTTCAGTCTGTCCGTCCGCCTAAAGATAATCAAAAAGAAATTAGAAAATAATTAACAAATGCGAAACTTACATTTACTCCTTTTGATTAACACACTGATACCCAAATACAATGGAAATAAGGTCTAATTTATTCAACACTAATTTCAATAATTAAAAAATTGAAATTCCACTAAACATCAGTTGTCCTTCATAACTGTTTTGAACATCAACACGCGAACAGGCCGGACCACTTTATCTTCAAGATATGAATATTTTTAAACGATTAAAATGTTATCTATATAAGGTAAAGGCACCTAATTCCGCGCTGTTTTTAACATAACACGAAAGAACATTATAAATTAAGTATTTATCGGACCTTTGTGTACAATTTTATATTTTTATCAGAAGTGTTAGCTATCAAATTTTTGAAAAATATTTGCAGTTTGTCAGTAGAAGGTTATTGAAGCTGATAAAATAAATAAAAATATAAAAAAGTCCGAGGTACCTTATTCCGATTTAAAAATCGTAATTCCGATGCATTTGGTTCCTAATTCCGAGTATAAAAATAGAAAGGGAACTATGTAGGGAGAATTATACATGATGTTTAAAAGTCAAATCTGTTTATTTTTTATATTACTTAAATCAATTCTGTTTTTGTTTATTCTAGTTTTATTCTAAACCCTGTTTTTTATTAATATTATTCCTTAATCTTATAAAAATATAAAAATGAATTAACAATATCAACATTAAAATCTAATTGTTGCATTACAAAAATTTTTGTTTCCTCCGATTTTGAGAGTACCGTTTTGCGACCGGCTATATGGCCACTATATTTTTGGTCACGTTTGTCTCTCAATGTCGTTTCTGGAATGTTGTATTCTCGGGAAGCCTTATAGACGCTACTGCCATTATTAATTGCAATAAGCGCACTTTCAAGATCCTCGACCGTATATTTCTTTTTTGCGTTCATTATCCTACAACAACACAAGTAAGTTAATGTAAGTAGTACCACAGGTAATAATTATTTTTACCTGTGCTACGACCCGTAGTAGCACCGGTAAAAAGGGAAAATACCTAATAATTATGAATATTCTTAAGAGTCTTCTAAAGTCATTTTCTTTAATATAATAAAATAAATAAAATACATGCAATTAAAAAAAAACTAAACGTAAAAAAAATAATTTTATTATATTTTTTTACAAACACACACTCCAATTTTATGTATTTGTATAGATGATTAGTATTCTTTCAGTTACTAAACGCGTATCTACTAAGCACATAAAATAATGAACACTCTGTATTTAAACAGGGTCTTAACTAACTTCGGAATTAGGTTCTCATGTAATCTTATTCCGACGTAAATACATCGGAATTAGGTACTCATGTAACCTTATTCCGACGTAAATACATCGGAATAGCGTTTTATGATGCTAAATCAAAGTTTCTAATTCCGAGTACTAAAAAGTAAAAGATTTTTTAATATTATGCAAATAAAATAATGTATAGTTACAATATGAAAGGAAAACAAATATAAAGTACATACATATAATAACAGAACACTTATAAAACCTAATGTCTTCACTAAAATCTTCTATACAACGTATTAATAAAGTACCTGTACAAACAATTTTTGACCTGCTATAATTAGTAAATGCGACGCCACGGTGTACCTCGGAAATAGATTATTAAATGTATGAGTTATTCATTAAGTCAGAACTAACACATTAAAGTTTATAATCATAAAACAGACACCGAAATTTAAAAAAACTAAATGTCTTTAAATTTGTTTTTCCGTGGTATACATCGGCTTTTAGGAACACACTAAAATATTTTGCACCTAATGCCGCGGTATTTTAAACACTTATTTTCTTGCTAATTTGCAAATAAAATACTCAAATCTTAAGTGTTTTCGATAAAAAATATTATCCTTTCAATATTTCAACCTAAACGAAAACTCGCGTTGTATAAAATTATTACGTAAAACACTATTTGGCAAATCGTAATACTCACGTGCATAAGGTCCCAAATGTATGAAGTGTGCTTTCGACGCCGCTCCCCGCGGCAAAATGACCGATTATTTTACAGTGTGACCATACTAAACTCTCCTTTGTATAAATAAATATGAACAGACAATTATTAATTCATTATTTTATCATGCAGACCATAAATAACTAGTAAATTGCTTTAAAAAACTGTTTTTCTAAATACATCGGAATATGATGCCATTTTTAGAACCCCTCGGAATAAGGTGCATTTACCTTATACAAATATGCATGTATGTACGTTACGAGTGACAGTGTAGCACTGATCGACGATGTAGTGCTTACTATCTACAAACACTCGCAACTTGTTCAGGGTCGTGAATACAAATACAACTGGTCTTGAACTATTTTTACTTATATAGTTGTCTCATAGGTATATGTCTTTTTTTGGAGGTACTATAGAGGTATTATATTAAGTTTAGCTTGTAGTATTGGGTAGTTTCCTAGGATAAAAAAATATTTGTATGGTTTAATGCAATAAAAAATTGATTGCACGGTTAGTGGGGTGGCTGGGCAACCGGCTGCCGTGCAATGTGTCGCGGGTTCGATTCCCGCACGGAACAACTCTTTGTGTGATCCACAAATTGTTGTTTCGGGTCTGGGTGTCATGTGTATGTTTGTAAACGCACCCAAGATACAGGAAAAAATCCTAAAAAGAAAAAAGAAATTAATTGCCTTACATAAAGAATACTAGTACAAGAATACTAGTACAAGAATACTAGTATGACATTATTATAGCGATGGCGGCCTATGTGGAAGTCATTGGGGGAGGCCTATGTTCAGCAGTGGACGTCCTGGAGCTGCTATGATGATGATGATGAGATATTACTGCATTATAAATGATCAAACTTAAACTCAAAAGCCACTTTAACTAAATCATAATTTGGTGCTTTTGAAACGTACGAAAATATTTGCTAAAAATATTAGGTAGTCAGTCAGTGAAGTTAGGTGCTCGTTCCAAAATGTAGATTTGAGTGGAGAAGAAAACCGAACGATCAAGAAACTCCATTCGTTACTCTTTTTAAAAAAAGTATGTTTAATATTAGATTTTTTTATCTGGGAATTGAATCAATTATTCAATAATAGGTACATTAGACACCCAAGTGATTCCTTACTGAATGTGGCTACATGATTTTATAACATCATTTATCATCGATCAACTGCACAATGAACTATTAAAAAGGAAATGTCACACTTCAGGCGCAATTGTTATAGTAATCGGTCGTCTGACGATTGTAGAGCATAAAGCTGCGTTTCCACTGGTGATGTGCAAGATGAGTAGCGATGATGTGTTTGTAAATAACCATTGAAATCGCTTCATTTACCTTCCCTTGAGCAGCACAGCTCTTTTGAAAACGCAGCCTAAGAGGGCAACGATGTGTTTTGTTGTCTTCTTTAGCATGCAGATTCGAAGGCGTTGAGCAAAGAGGATCTTGAAAGTAGGCTATGTATTTGGAAACACAGTGTGGGTTTGGATAAGTGTCCTGATGAAGATCGTAAGGAATTGCTCGAAGCATATAGCTTAGATATAATTAGGTTAATAGTGGGTGTCTTGTAGTGGATATGATTTTGCTATCTCGACTTTTTATTCTCCAAAACAGTAGAAGATCCGAATCTCATAATAAGTGATATACCTCTACAATACTTATCACACAATATATGTATTATTACTCGATATTAACTAAAAATATGTTCATTGCCGAAAAGTCCTTCAAGGCATGTACTCCTAATAGTAGCTACTTCCAGAGCAAGTTATGAAGATTAAAAAACCCGGTTTTAGGCAAGGAAACTCAAGCATTGAATTTCAAATAAATATTTGCAACTTGACCAACGAAATAATCACTGCACATTTAACATAATATTTTCGGTAACTTTACAAAACAGTAACTATGTCATATATCATATTGTGTAATAATTGCTATTGTCGGTAGAGTCGTCGCAAGAGCTGCTACTATTTCCAAGGTCAACATAGAATTGAAAATGTTTAGGCACCATTATATTTCACTTTGTGTACTTAAAGGTCTTCATAAAGAAATTAATGATTATGTTTTCGGATTCCTCACGTAACGGTTTAACGAGTAACTCGACTAGTTTCAAGCCATGCTAGAGGCTCGTATTCATGAGCGACACACGACGTGGCGACAGTTAGGTACGTGAGTAAGCGGAAAACATAGAAAATAATTTAGTATACCTCATAAAAGATATAAATATAGAAATATTTGAATTGGTAATACGACATTACTAAACTTGTTACACCCCGTTGTTGGCAGGGTGTATTAATAAAATAATCTACGAATATCAACAGAAAATATTATTATTTCTGATATTTCGTCTGTTATCTTACAGGATGTCCTGCTAAGGATCATATATAATTATGATGGTCAAATAAGTGATATAGAGTGATAATGATAATGGATGCGATAATATGCCGACTGTCCAACGTAATTTTGGTCATCATTTATCGAATCATGGATGAAGTGCATCACAATTTTGTGGCTTCGCGCGTCGAGTTCGTCACCCACTTAGGAATGCCCGTCAATCTTATTCTAAAGCACAAACACACGAGGTACATACATATATACATACATACGTACAATACATACATAAATACAAACATTCAAAGAAACTGAGAACCTCGTCGTTTAAAAATAAGGTTAAGATAAATAATCCATACAATCTCCTGGATTAATCTAGAACCAGTTACATGCAATACTCAAGCAAAGCGGGAACCTAGAACAAATAGTTTTCAATAAATCACCAAGTTCTAAGTAACACCTTTCATATTACTTACAGTTAACAAGAAGTACCAGTGAACACTCCAAGAATTAGTTCTACTTCGATATTTAAAGTCCCGCTAACAGCACTCAAACTTCCAGTTAGGTAAGTTTTCTAACTGGGAAAGTATAAGTCGCCCACATTTGTGTTGCCAATGATGTTGGAGCGGTTAATGCTGATAGTAGTTTATTGTATTAAGTAAAAGGTTTTTCCATAATTCGCTAATTGCTTTAGATTTTTGTGGTTATGGCAGTTTAATAAACTGCTTTATTGACCGGGTTCGATTCCCGGGTCGGGAAAAAGTATTACTGGGCTTCAAAAAAAGAAAAATTCTCAATAGTAACACAGAGTTCGGAATTGCGCCCCGTGTATAGAAATAGGCTCATCCTCTATTACATGGGAATCATAACATAAATAGTCATAAATGGGTTTTACATTGTGCAGTGGCATTAAGTGCCGTATAATATGTGCACTACCCCTTCGGGGGTAAAAGGCGGGATGTTATTATTTTTTTTTATATTTGACTGCTTAGTAAAAATGATAATGGATGATGGAAGAATTTATAGTTTGATTTTGGAAATAAAATCAAACTATCAACGACAACTGCACGCAAGGCCGCATCAATGCAGCGCACGGCGGTAGGCCGTAAGATATTTGTCATTAAATATTTTAACGAATACCTCCGTACTTACTTGCTTACTTTGTCTTTATAAATAATTATGTTAATGTTAAAAATCCCAAAATTGTTACCGCTATTATATAACAACCTCTTGTTGTTACTGGACAAATAATTGAATGTAAAGTTAGTAACGTATAAGTATTTATTTCTGTACAAGTGATTTGTAATCTTTTAGAAATAAATG